ATGTATTCATTTATTCATTAAGCCATATTGTAATCCAAAGCTGCTTTAATGATTTACCGTGAAAAATCGTGGCCACAGGGAATTCTCTTCCTGCATTTAGCATTTCTGGCCTTTGACACTAAATACGAGTAGCACCCCACAGTCATTGTGACAATAGAAATGCCTCCACCCTCACCAGTTTCTGAACCACACACTCAGATTGTTGTTTCTGTATTTAGCCAGTGGGTGTCAGTCAGAACTGTATGTCTTAATGCTGAGAGAAGCAATAGGGACCATCTTGCCCAGTCCCTCTGCCCTCTGCCCTCAGAAAGGGAGAGGGAGCTTAAGAGTGCAGTGTAAGCAAAGCAGTGCACCTTCTGTTACATATGCAGCCTGTGCTTAGCTTGGCTGTGTAGAATTGGTAACAAATGGATTACACACACTCTGACGGTATCATGTATATTGTGGAATTAGGAGTTCAGATACAGCAGTGATTAAAGCTTGCTGATGTTTTCCCAAGAAGCTTCATAGATGGGTTACAAATGAGCCACATTTTGAAAGATGAGTAGGAATAAGTGCAGTAAAGAGCCAAGAAAAACCCAGACTGGGAAATGCCACAGGCAAAAAGGTGAAAGTAGAATAAACATGGTCTAGATTGGGGCAGGAATAGGGAAGGTGATGGTGAGGAATGGGTGTGTGTGTAGTTGGTGTCTTTTCCTTTGAAAAGACTTGCTTACCCCTCTGGCCCCACCACTGCCAGCCCTAGGACCAAGCTGCAGGGCTCTCCTGTGAGCTGCTGGAGCCCCAAACAGTCTAGCAATGTGACTGTTTGTCTCTTTTGTTCTCTGTGCTGTGTCTTGGTTATCATTGGATCTCCAGCATCTGACACACGGTAAAGGGTTAGTAAATAATTATTTTTATTTATTTATTTTTGAAACAGGGTCTGACTTGGTTGCCTAAACTGGAATGCAGTGGTGCAATCATAGTTCACTGCAGTCTCAAACTTCTGGGCCCAAGCAATCCACCCACCTCAGCTTCCTAAATAGCTAGGACTTTATTAGCGCATGCCGCCGTGCCCAACTAATTTTTTTTTTTGAGGCAGAGTCTCGCTCTGTCACCCAGGCTGGAGTAGGCGCGATCTCGGCTCACTGCAAGCTCCGCCTCCCAGGTTCACGCCATTCTCCTGCCTTAGTCTCCCGAGTAGCTGAGACTACAGGTGCCCGCCACCGTGCCCGGCTAATTTTTTGTATTTTTAGTAGAGATGGGGTTTCACTGTGTCAGCCAGGATGGTCTTGATCTCCTGACCTCATGATCCGCCCGTCTTGGCCTCCCAAAGTGGTGGGATTACAAGCGTGAGCCACTGCACCTGGCCCAACTAATTAAAAAAAAAAAAAAATTTGTAGAGAGATGTCTCACTTTGTTGCCTAGGCTGATCTCAAACGCCTGACTTCAAGTGATCCTCCTGTCTTGCCCTCCCAAAGTGCTGGGATTACAGGCATGAGCTGCTGCTCCCAGCCTTGATGTATTGAATGATTGTGTATGGATTATAAGTTGTGAATTGGGAAGATTGTAGGAAAGAAAGACTGGTCATTTCTTTAGAGAAAGATTTTACTTCTGATTTGTGTGTTCTTGAATGGGTTCCTAGGACTATTAGGATTTATTCATACAAAAATAGAAATGCTAGACTTAGGAAAAAGAAAATTTTATTTATTTGTTTGTTTGTTTATTTGACAGAGTTTTGCTCTGTCGCCCAGGCTGGAGTGCAGTGACATGATCTCGGCTCACTGCAACCTCTGCCTCCCAGGTTCAAGTGATTCTCCTATCTTGGCCTCCCAAAGTGCTGGGATTACAGGCATGCGCCTCTGTGCCCAGCCAGAAAAAGAAAATTTTGTAGAGGTAGAACCTGAAGTGGTGATGTAATCTAAATTGTTTTTGTACACAAATCAGACCAAGAAAAATCATAAAAGTGAAAAGGCTTAAAGAAGAATGCTGAAAGGTTGGTCAGAGGAAAGCACAGTAGTTGGAGAAAATCCATTGTAAGCACTACTTAGGGCCTTCTTAGCATGAAAATATAGAGAGCACTTAGTTTTTCAAGGTACTTTTAACTTTTTTTGTGCAAAGCATTTTCTGAAATTAATGCAAAGACCTGATTCTGTCGTGTTTCTTGATCTTCTGTGCATGCGTACATTTTCTATTAACATATTACTTAGGATAGTGTAAAAACGAATGACAGTGGTAAGTCCTTTTAGTGATGTTGCCATGAAGTGCAAGCTTCTGATTGGAGAGAAATGCTTGGATCCTGGCCCTGTGTCCCTGTGGTACCAGTAGGTGCTTCATTACTTTCATTTGCTTTGGTTTTTAGTCAGTTCTGATTCATTCTTTATGTTCTGTTTTTCTAATCACAAAAATCAGAAGAAATTTACTAATTATAAAAAGCAGTATTGGGTCACTTAAGAAAAATGCTGTTTCATTTTCACTAAAATATATATTAATAAGTTGTGTATTTCTTAATACTTTTTAGGCGCTGTTTTGAATTTTTAGATTTGCTTTTACAAGAATGGCAGACACATTCACTAGAACGGTGAGCATCTGGTTTGAAACCATTTTTCCCTCTGAATTGAATCTTGAGAGTGAATGCTTTGGTGAGTGGTCCAGCTGGCTTTCTGTAAGAATGGAGGAATATATGCGTTTGTTTTCATGACTACGTCTGTTGTTTTACTGATGTTGGTCACATAATATTCGCAGACACTTTTAGTGAATTTCATTGGTTGAAATACTACTATGTCCGTGTGCATTCTGACAGCTGCAGAGCCAGTAGAAACTCTTACTGACTCTGGCCCTGCTGCTTGACATCCCCTTCAGTTCCCATGAGGTAACTGTTTAAAGTTGCTGTTAGTAGACAAGTTGTAGCTGTTAGGTCCTTCAAGGAATTTCATTCATTTGAAAGTTTTCTTTTTCTCCCTCTGTATTTAATGTAGACAGCCTATTCAATATTTAGGTCATTATCTCATAATTTCCTTAGAAACTAGTTCTGATATGAAAAACACAAGATTTTGTTTTTGGGGTTCATAAAAGATTGAGCTGTAAGTGCAAATTTTGAAAAATCAGCTTTTGTTTTTAAAAAAAATCCCACAAGAGAATAGAGTTATGAAAGTCTTTAGGTATGGATGGGTTGGAGTGGAGCTAGGGTGTTGGGGCAGGGCTGAAAATTAAAGGATTGTAGGAGTGCTCTGCTTTGCCCAGCCACCTGGGAATTGACCAGCCTTGGCACAGAGACTCCCAGCTCCATGTTGCTATTTGGAAGTTATTTCTCCCACCTGGTTTCATCCGCATTAAACCATACATTTATGATTGTTACTGCTTTCTTTTCTAAATATCTAGACACATATCAGTATTAGCTGAAACAATAAAGAAGGGAATACATGATGCTGATTCCGAAGCAAGAATAGAAGCCAGAAAGTAAGTTTTTATTGTACCCCACTTTTTAAATTAACTTCTTCTGTATTTCACATGAATTATATGGATTGCCTTATTAAAAACTTGTTAAGTTACTTGAACATATTTGTTAACCATGAATTTTAAACATGACCCCCAATAGGCCATTTTGGAATATTTCTGTCTTTTTTAAATAACATCACTCAACCTTGTGAATAAACAGGACTGAGGGAGACAAAAGAATGCTCATTTTTACATTCATCACAAATTATCACATAGCTCTGGAAGGCACTTGTATACATGCTCAATGTATTCATTTATTCATTAAGCCATATTGTAATCCAAAGCTGCTTTAATGATTTACCATGAAAAATCGTGGCCACAGGGAATTCTCTTCCTGCAGTCACTTCTTTGCAAGCATCTGTGATTCCTTGGTGTGAATCATATTAAGGGGAGCTGAATTGACCTAATGCCTGGGATTATCACAGTGATAACTTGCTGTTTCTGTCTCACAAATGAGGTACTTTTGCCATTAGGACTGTTTCCTCCAATCATGTGGGCATGGCCTCTGTATTTGTTACCTCCTTGGAAATTTTTTTTTTTTTTTGAGATGGAGTCTCACTTTGTCACCCAGGCTGGAGTGCAGTGACACAATCTCGGCTCACTGCAAGCTCTGCCTCCTGGGTTCTCGCCATTCTCCTACCTCAGCCTCCCCAGTAGCTGGGACTACAGGTGCCCGCCACCACGCCTGGCTAAGTTTTTGTATTTTTAGTAGAGTCATGGTTTCACCATGTTAGCCAGGATGATCTCAATCTCCTGACCTCATGATCTGCCCGCTTTGGCCTCCCAAAGTGCTAGGATTACAGGTGTGAGCCTCTGCGTCTGGCCTTGGAAATAATTTTTGCTACTGTGGCTGTAAATACCAGAAGTTTGATATTAAGACATTCTCTCTTGGGCAGTGCATCGATAACTGCTGCCAATGTTGCATCTGTGGTTTTTTTTTGAATTTACTCTCGTAGTTGACCAACTCTCCTAATTGATACATGCTAAAATCTAATCTGCATCATTATGGTTTTGCTTAGCTGCAGTGATGCATCCTGATCTAGTACTTGTTGATCTTTGACTGCCTTCACAGTTAAATTATATTTCACTTGTTTCTGAGCTTATTATAACTATGAAGTGTTCGTGCCAATTTTTTCTTGGCTGGTTTCTACCAAAATAAGTGACATAATTAGTCATTGCTGAAAACTATTAGGAATAGATTTGTTAATAATCTGTTTATGCTGTTTTTATCCTTGTATTGGACCCTTCCCATCCCCAGCCCATTTTTTTCTTGGTCTTTAGTCATAATGTGATACCGATTTCAAGTAGCTCTGAACATTTTAAAATTTTTCTTTTGCACATGTTACCTAAGGCAATTTTAAATACTTTATATCAAGAGATGTGTAATTGAATTTATAATAGCTGCCATTTTAATGAGCCTGTCCTGTGTTCTAGGTATAGTCCTAGATGTTTAGCTGCACCTTCCCCAAGATTCCCCAGTTTTGCAAGTTAGACTCTTTAATTCCCATGTTATAAATGAGGCTGACGTTGAGAGAGGGTAAGTGACTTGCCCACTGTCTAAAAGACAGTAAAATTGTGAGGCTGGGATTCGTACCAGGTCTCCTTTGTTCACCCTCTCCTCCTGCTACTATTAGCAGCTAAACTGAGGCTTCCAGTCCTTGAAAATCCTCTGTGGTGTACTCCAGAGTTCAGCGAAAGACCTGTGTGGATCCTTGGATTAGAACAGGATTTTGTGTGTTTCCTCTAGATGTTACTGGGGTTTCCACAGTCACTTCAGCAGAGAAGCAGAGCACTTATACCACACCTTGGAGTCCTCCTACCAGAAAGCCCTGCAGTCCCACCTGAAGAACTCAGACAGCATAGTGTCTCTGCCTCAGTCAGACCGCTCGTCTTCCAGCTCTCAAGAGAGTCTAAAGTAAGGGATTCATCTTTGCTTATGATTCTCGTGAGAATTTGTGTTTCAAAGTTTGTCGCATGAGAACACAAATTCTAGCTATGTTTTTACATGTGTGCTTGTTACAACACCCGCTTACTTCAGGTAGATCCTGGTGCAAAGTAAGATACCACCACGGAGTGGTAAGAAATGGGTTGCTTTGGTCTCTACCATGCTATTTTTCAGTTAAATTTATATGGCAGTCCTAGAATACAGTTTTAGAGTAACATAAGTGAATTATGGAGTAGTGTGAACTATACACACCAGTGCTTCAGAGAGTCTTCTCAGAGGATGTAAGTGTGAACCTGGAGACAAGTTTGGAAATGGAGGGCGTTCAAACTCCGTGAATTAATATATTGTCATCTCTGCTCTGTGTTTGATTTCTGTCTATAGTGACTATTTCACTGTCTGTGTTTGAAATAATTCTTCATCGTAATAATTTCCTGTTGTAGTTTGTATTTGTATTAATTCGGATAAAGTACATGTAATAAATAGTATACATCTTTACTTTTAGTCGTCCGCTGTCTGCCAAAAGAAGTCCCACTGGAAGTACCACATCTAGAGGTGAGACTGACAGCCGCGGAGAAGGCCTGTTCTCGGCTCTGGTGGTCTGTACGTGCAGCTGTGAGAGGCTGCCCAGGCACGGGAGGCCGGCAGCCTGCTCTCAGTTCCTTCTTAGGCTTGAACATAGCCTGCTGTGCCCTGCTCTGACTCTCCGGCAGAGCTCCGCTTTGTCAGGGCCACTCACTGCTGAGGACAACATTGACGGGGTGACTTAGGAATAAAGCTCTGTGACCTTTTCTCCCCACCTCCCCTGCATGTTGACACTGCCACAAACTGCGCCTCCTGTCTCTGATCCTTTGATGAGACAGTGAAGACATCTTGGTGGCATTTTGAGCAGCAGCAGCAGTGTGGTGGTGGTTAGTGGTGGGAGAGTGGCGTGTTCCAGAAGGAGGAGGGTGTCTAGGTAAGAGGGCGTGGCGCAGTTATGTCATTTCATGAGGAGACTCCATATACGTGAGCATTTTTTCCCTATCTCACTTCTTCATAGCAAGCAGAAACATGGTCCATTTCCTTGGGGTTTATAGTCTTCGATAACAAGAAAACAAATGTAATTGATACATTACAGTTGAGGTCACTTTTAGTTTCCTTCAGCATTGCCTGAACTCTCTTCTGGGACCAGGAAAAACTGTTGGTCAGTTTTTTATGCTCCAACATTTGTTAAAATGTGGTATTTGTTTTCAGGAAAGCAAAACAACATCAAACTTTAGCAGTGTATTTTCAAAATTCTATGTAGTCCTTATTCATATTTCCTCCTTTATCACTAAAGCTTCTACAGTTAGTACCAAATCTGTGTCAACGACTGGGTCCCTCCAGCGATCTCGAAGTGATATTGATGTGAATGCAGCAGCCAGTGCCAAATCCAAAGTCTCCTCATCTGCGGGCACGACGCCTTTCAGCTCTGCAGCGGCTTTGCCTCCAGGGTCATACGCATCCTTAGGTAACCACACCACTGTCACCCTTTCCCTCCTGCACTGCTCTGCGAGAGATGACTCTTACCTCTTAGCAAAATACAAAAACCCATGATTGAGGCAAGTCTCACTGTTGCAGGGCTACTGTTATCTAAGTAGCTTTGTGCGCTTGCTGCTGATCAGCCAGCTACCCTTGTTGAGTGTCCCTTTCTTTGGTGCATCATCCGTTTTAGTGATGAGTAAGTACACAGTACATGCGTGCTCAGAGGGTGGGTGGCACTGAGCACATCCTTTCCTCAACTCTTCCTCCTCCTCCGTGGCAAGCCCAGCCACCTCCCATATTGTCAAAGCTAAGTTTTTTCCACCTCTGACTCTGGTGGGAGCAGAGCCAGCAGGTTCAGTGAGGGATTCACCAAAGGTAGTGTAGTTAGGTATTTCTCAATTTGAGAATATAACCAGAGCTGGCAGGGATCATTGGATTGGGTTGTGGGGAATGGCAGGAGGAATCTGAAGGAATGTAATGAGCTCATGAATCAGCATAATCCTGTCTGTGCAAACGAGTGTTGTCCTTCCATGTATCACGTTGGGAGGAGCATGCCTTCTGAGGATTGCCCAAAAATGTTTTTAAAAAATTACTTTCAAAATTTTTACTATCTCACATAGTGACAAATCAGCTACTCATATTTTTCAGCAAATGCTTAACACGTACTATGTGTCAGGCTAATTGTTTGTTTCGTTTTGTTTTTGTAAGAGCCAATTCATCCAAAGCCAGAATCTAAGGATTTAGCTGGATTGGTTCTAGTTTAGATTTTACGGAAATGAACAAAATTTAAACTTCCTGAAATATTGAGATGGAGTTACTCATGTAACTTTCAAACAAATTCCGGAGTCAGTTCTAAAACTAATGTTCAGAAAACGTTTCCAACGTTGGAAGTACAGTGAACAAATAGCATTCAGAGAAGATTTTAGGGTCTGCCATTTATTAGCTCTGTAACCTGGAGCAGGCCATGGAATCTGTAAGTCTATTTTCCATACCTGCAGATTACTTGTAATAATAGCCACCTAACTCATATATGAGGCAAAACAAAATTATATAAAGATTCTTTATAAACTATTGTCCTGTAAGGTGGAAGACAGCTTGATTGTGATAGGAACATTATTAATTTGGAAGATACGTGTTCTGGAACATCTGCTCAGTCAGTCTTGTTTTTATGGAAATACCTCATACACACATGACAATTGAGAAGAAGCAATGTCATTAAGAACTCTCTTTTTTAAATCGTTTTAACTATTCCAGCATTATGTAGGAGTGTTGTCCATATGTAACCATTGAGAAAAGAAAGGAGAAGTAACAACTCTTCCCTCCTACGCTGAATTAGTTCTGTTAATTTTAGTTTAGTTTTTCAGCACTTACCTATGCTTTAGTATATTAGATCCACCTTTAGTATTTGTAATTAGTGTTTGTTTCATTGCTGGAAAAAGTGAGTAAAAATCAGCCATTAAAATACTCAGTGTTTTTGTTTTTCTGTCTGTATTTGGAGTGTTTGAATATGACTGGTATAGACTTCCCCCAGTGCTAGTGAAAGCCCTCACATCTTTTGGTATGATAATATGGAACTGACCCTTCAGAAGCACTGATGGTAAGTTTTCAGTCAAGTATTAACCTCTTCAAAGAACGAGACTGGAGTATTCAAATTCTCTGTTTCCTGAGAATTCTACCTCAATTTCCCTTATTTTGTCCCCAAACGAAAACACCAAAAAATTGAAATATAGCACAATCCTAGTGAGAATTTGTTACAGTTGCTACTTAGGTTGACACGTGACATCTTTGCAAAAGTGTAGCATTAAAGCTGATGATCCTTTTCCAAACTTCTAGAGTCCAGACACATGAGGGAAGACATGGAGTACATAGGCCTGGACTCAGGTACCATGCTCGACAGCTTTCGCTGCTGGACGTGTAGTTGGGATAGGCATTGCTAGAGCAAGCTTCTCTGAGCTTCTTACTTGGCTCTGCCCTTTGGGTAACTCTTCAGTATTTTATCTTCTAGTTCCTCCTCTCTGCCCTGTTCTGCTGGTACTTTCTTCCAAGAAAAAGGAACTCTTAAGAGGATTAGAGTTGGCTAAAACAAAAAACAATCTTTCTTTCAACTGTGGCACTACCCTGGGTTGCCCTTCTATGTTGTATTTTCCAAAGGCAAAAAAACCATTATGCTATGTCAAGCTAATTTCAATACAAGGCACACTTACTTGCTTCAGACTCTGCTTTGCTGTTGAACTTTTTTCCCTTTTAATTTTGTTTTAAATTGTACTTTTGCTTTTTTAGTAGCTAATAACATTTGGCTTTTTAATTTTTTGAATGTTACTAACTGTTCCCTGTTATCCCTTCCCTTGTTTTTTAATTTGCTTAAAGATGGTACTACCACTAAAGCGGAGGGTAAGCGGTTTGTTTCTGTGATTGAGGTGTGTCTCACTTTCTCTGGTCCTCTGTTCTCACCGAGTGTTGCCCAGTACCCACTTGTCCTCACCAAGGTCCCTGCATGAGATGTTGCACGCTGTCCCTCCTCCTCTCTTTTCATTCTGTCTCCATTGGGTTTTTGCCCTACCTCTACCTAAGTTCTCCTTCCCTTTCTTGTTCAGTCTTTGTTCTTGTGAATTTTAGCACTAAAGTATGCTGTGCGTGGTTTTTCATGCTGAGTCCACACTCTGGGGAGGAGCGTCGATGTCACACTGTGTGCTGCTGTCCTCATGGACTGCCTGTCTTGGGTTTTCTTACTCCTGAAGCACTACCTTAGCTTTTGTTTCCTTTTCTTTCCTTTTGTGCTTTTGTGGGCCTCTCAGGATTTGCCTTTCCTGTTTTGAAAGTAAATTTCAATGTCAATTATTCAGACTAAAGGCTGGTAAACGTTTTCTAACAGGTAATTTAAAGAAATTAAAAAAAAAAAATTTTTTTCTCTCCTCTAAAGGTACTACTGACTTACTTGATGCTATTTTTTATTTGTCTCATGGACACACGCCCCATTCATTTATTTACTCTCATTCATCCCCTCATCAACCATGTATTAAATGCCTTCCATGTGCCGTGTTTTGTATTACACACCAAGGATATAACAATGCTGAAAGAAATAGGCATATCCAGATCCACTTTATTTTCTTTTTTATGCCATTCTCAAGAAGCTCTTCCTATTTTTGCGTTACCTTTAGAATTTTAGACATAGTTGTTTTAGTCTCTGCAGGTTTTTGATAAGTGCATATAAGACAATATTATTCCTTTGCTAGATAGAACGCGTGATAATGCTTTAAGTAATTGAAATTTAGAGGAACAGTCTCTGCCTAAATAGAGGCTTAGACCCACCAACCTTCAGGATAATTACTTAACAATTAGGAAGAGCTAGTTCATTTTCGTATATTATTTAGTCACCCCAAAGGGCTAGCAGGCAAAGTTGGCTGGGTTTAGCTTGATGTGTGCAGCTCAGTTCCTTTAATCCATGTGTTACTTTCTAAGGACTCATAAAGGAAAGAGAGGAATGGATTTTTTTTTTTAAAGGTGAACATGGTCCCAAGATCAGTCTTTCTTAAATTTATCACATCGTGAGAATTACTTGGATGCTTACTAAAAAAATACTCTTAGCTCCTTCCCCCTGAAGATGCTGATTAAGTTTGGAAGGAACCAGAGAATCTGAATTTCTACTCAGCCTCATTGGTGGTTCTTAGGGTTGGACAAGTTTGTAAAACAAAAAATTTCCAGAATTAAAATAAAGACAAGAAACCTCTGTCCCGATGAGCACGTCATGTCTGACAGCAGAAGGCTGAGGCTGGTGTGATTGAAAAGCTGGTTGATAATTTTCTTCATTTCTTAAGCTGATAATGGGCAAATTTATGTTTCTCCTCCCCAAAGAAACAATCCTGAATGTTTTCTCAGCCTTGCTGGGAGGGGAGTAGGAGAGTGGAAGAGAATAATGTAGATGAAATGGAAAGCAAAGACATTACATGGGAAATTACATGTTTTTCCAGAATGTCGTGATTTCCATGCCTATGTAACAGAATCGAAATCAGCCTGTTGTTCCACCCAGCCCTAGAAGTTTTTAACCTTTTTTTTCCCCCCCATCAGTTCCACAGTCCTGAGTAAGGTCAGAATTGCCGCCTCAGTTATTGTACAGGAGATTAACTCTCTGGTTTTCCTTCTGCTGGGAGAAATTGCTTTTCTAGAGAGCTCAGACTCCGACAATAGAGACCCTTGCTGGAGAAGCACAGAGAGTGTCAGTGTTTGTGTACTGGGGCTGCACAGGCTGTGCCAACACCTGGCTAGTCAAGGTCTAGAGAGACCCGTGAGTCTGAACACTTCTAGGTTGTCATTGTTCTGTTGGTTTCAGCAGTGAGACTGAGAGAGCCTGTTCTGTTTAGAAACGCCACAGTGGTTTTTAGGTAAAGTCTGCAGGAAATGTCACTTGGTGCCTTTTCAATATGAGTTTTCCACCTGCATTTTTGGAATCATTATGGGCCTTTTAAAAATTTATTAATAAGTCTGTTAAATATTTTATAATCTAGCTTATGAGACAAGATGATTTTAAAACCGTTGTATGCTCTAAATTAAAAACTTACAGGGTGGGTGCAGTGGCTCACCCCTGTAATCCCAGCAGTTTGGGAGGCCAAGCAGGTGGATCACCTGAGGTCAGGAGTTCGAGACCAGCTTGACCAACATGGTGAAACCCGGTCTCTACTAAGAATACAAAAATTAGCCAGATGTGGTGGCATGCGCCTCTAGTCCCAGCTACTCAAAAGGCTGAAACAGGCCAGGCACAGTGGCTCATGCCTGTAATCCCAGCACTTTGGGAGGCCGAGGCGGGTGGATCACAAGGTCAGGAGATCGAGACCACGCTGACTAACACGGTGAAACCCCGTCTCTACTAAAAATACAAAAAATAAGCCGGGCATGGTGGTGGGCGCCTGTAGTCCCAGCTACTAGGGAGGCTGAGGCAGGAGAATGACGTGAACCCCGGAGGCGGGCCTTGCAGTGAGACGGGATCGTGCC